GCAATGAAGATAAGGAGCAGAAGGCTGCTTTGGAAAATCTCATCTACGCAAAGATCAGCTCTGAACTGGTGCAAATGACCCTTAAAGATGGGCTATAAATCAATCATAATAGCAGCAACACAAGTCATGGCAATATCCTGAGAGACGAATTACTGTACTGGGGCACTCCAAGAAACTTCTAGAAGATACTCAACTGGGTTTAGGTTTGCTAGAAAAATAACAAAGAATGGGCTTGGGGGGGGCTAAAGGAACAAAGTTCATCCTGCTAAAGAGCAGATTAGCCAGTGTGATACAAATATGATCATCTGCCAACTTTATTAGGATTCTTTGTCATCCCTAAGAACATCTTTGTATTTTCCTTAATATGCAAATGTATGCATGCAATTTTTAGACTGTAAACAACAGTGAAATATCTGAAGCGTACACACTGAAACATATATTGCAGTCCAGTTTGCACTGATACTTAGGTAGGGTTGATTAAGTAAGATTGCATTAGAACATGCCTGGAACAAATTCCTTCCCAATTTTTATTTTTTGTCCACTTAAACTGACTTTCTCAAACAAAAGAACTTCCTCTAAGAAAGAGAGATTCCAGCAAGATCGACTTAATTGCAGCTTATCAAGAAGGCTAGTTTAATCTTCTATGCCTAAATGAAAACAAAATATTTTCTTTTCCAATACAGTTATTAATGTGGCAATGACAGGATTTGCAATTTAACCAACACTTTCTTGTGAATGGACCTTGTGTTTATTTTTATTACACAAATACATACATGCGTGTGTGTGTGTATAAAAATAAATAAAAACTTGCAGGCTTCAGATATGCCACGTGACTCTTTTGCCTTTTTTTTTGGCATAATGAATGCTGACATACTATGAGCGAAGCAGAAGGTTAACTGGATCGAGGAAGCAACTGAATGCAACAGTCTTGGGAGTTTTAAGAAAAGAGAAAAAAATGATCAGTTGGCTTGCTTAAAATTAAAATAGCTTAAGTGCTTGTCTGGCCTGAAGCCAGAGTCTTTTCCATTTTGCAGGACTTAACTCTTTCCCTCTTGCCTAGTGTAGGTGGCTTCCTTAAAAATAGGGAGAGAACAAATTAAATATGCAAAACAGGAAACTAGAACTAGGCACCGTTTGGCTTTTTAAAGACCAGATATTGTTGCTCTCCAGGATTTCAGCTGAATGTAGTCCCTGAGAAATAAGAAACATAAATTGCACATTCCCTGGAACTGAGTTTTTATAGAAGTATGCATAGAACAACCTTTTAATCTCAGTGAATCATGATTTTCTATGGCTATAGCACAGAGTATAAAGTCATCTCCTGAACAGCTACGGATCCCCATTTTCTGTTTCAAGACATTCTTTGTTTACCCCTTTCACACAGTCTGGGTTCTGCCAGTTCCCTTGGTCAACTGAAGCTCCCTTAGTCACTACAGCAATGTTTTTCAACCTTGGCCACTTTAAGCTGTGTGGACTTCAACTCCCAGAAT